TGCACCTGAGCTGCGCCAAGCCAAAACCGATTGGGCCACCATCGGCACCGACTCTTGTGCCACTGGGCGGCATATTAATCTGCTTTTAATTGCGGCTCCACTCGCCAGTTGGATCTGCCAGCTCCTGCCAGCTCCTGCGGTAGTTAGCTGCTGCTTAGGTACTTGTTGTGGCACTCTCTGTCCGGTGCACGCTCTGATCGTGCTCCTCTCGCTGGCAATTGCCATTGATTAATGTGCGCCAATTGTGAAATAAATGTGTTGTTGATATTTGTTGGCCCAGTGGCAGCTGTGGCAGCCGCCAGCCTACGGCGCCCTGTTCACTGTCTTGGCTCGGGTGTTGCAGGTTTCTTCGCCCATGTTAATTGAATTATTGGCAGGGGCAAATTTGTGGCAGACACACATTCATATATGCACATATGTGCGCTGCTTGCCAAGTAGGCGTGGCTGCACAAAAGTGCGGCTTATTGATTGTTGTTTGCTCACAGGCGCCGGCTCTGCATTGGCTGCGGCAGCATCAGGAACTGGGCACATGGTTATATGGCATAGAAAGCAAAAGCTGATAAACAACGAATATATGAATCTGATAAGCTAAGACCGAGCCGAATCGGATGGGCAATATGTCAAACACCTTCTCAAGAGCTAGCATGCATATTAAAAACCACATTTTCGGTGGCCAATGCCTCGAGGTTCGATTCAGAGATTGATCGTCCCATTTCTTATAAATTGCAACGATGTAGTTCAATTCATTATAATTATATTTATATAACTTTACTTCACGAACTTAAGCCCATTTCCTTGCTATTTGCATTCTTTAACTTAGTCAAAGTTTAATTTAGTTTATTTGCGACTTACCTTATCTCAAATAAATTGAGTACAGATGGACGTACGGATAAACGGCAAGGCGAACATTGCACAGACCCAATATAATCTTTTCAGTTTGTTAATGAGGGGGCGCATGTAAATTTATACGTTTCGTAGGTTTACGCGATTTTCACTAGAGCACAGATTATTATACATTTAATATCCAATTAGAAGATGAGTATGTCGCGTTCTTTATTCAATCGATTATTAGAAAAGATCAAACGCACACACGATATACGTATACACCAATTAATTATGCACTAATTTCTTTTCATTTATTTGCGACCCGGGCCCGTTTTATTACACTTTTCACAAATTACGATTCTTATAACTCTTATAAGCACGCGGAGAACGATCAGCTGATTAAAGCAACTGTAAACTGTGTGCAAAAGAACGCGAGCAATGCCGAGCTTATTGGGATACTGTAAAACAACAACAACATTCGAGCAGAAGGCTATGAGAAGGAATGCCAAGCTGTTAAGAAAATATACCAAAGCCGATAGTCGATAGACTGAAGCCGATATAATGTAAATGAGTATATCGATATAATTAGAAGCTGCAATCTTGGGTGATTTGTTCTTAAGCGACAAAATAGCACAACTTTAATTAAAGGTGTCCTTGAAGCCTCAAGCGTACGGCGCCCTGTTCACCGTCTTGGCTCGAATGTTGCAGGTTTCTTCGCCCATGTTAATTAAATAATTTGCAGGGGAAAATTTGTGACAGACACCCATTCTTATATGTACATACATATACATATGTATGTATGTATGTGTACTGCTGGCCATGTGGCCGTGGATGCAGTAAAGAGCGGCTTATTGATTGTTGTTTGCTCTGCATTGACTGCGGCAGCAAAAGAAACTTAGCACATTTTTGCATAGAAAGCAAAAGCTGATATGCATCGAATATATGAATCTGATAGCTGGTCTCAAACCGAATCGGATGGACAATACATTGGTCAAACACGTTCTTACGAGCTGGCATGCATATTGAAAACAAAGTTTTCACGGAAGGGCGAATAAACGGCAAGGCGAACATTGCACAAACTATTCAATTTATGAATGAGGGGGAGAATGCATACTAAATGCGTTTTGTAGGCTTACGCGATTTTCACTAAGGCACAGATTATAAATTTGGTATCCAATTAGAAGATGAGCATGTCGCGTTCTTTATTCAATCGATTATCAGAAAAGATCAAGCGCACACACGATATACGTATACACCAATTAATTATGCACTAATTTCTTTTCATTTATTTGCGACCCGGACCCGTTTTATTACACTTTTCACAAATTACGATTCTTATAACTCTTATAAGCACGCGGAGAACGATCAGCTGATCAAAGCAACTGTAAACTGTGTGCAAAAGAGCGCGAGCAACGCTTAGCTTATTGGGATACTGTAAAACGTTTAATCGATTACGCGAAGCTGTTAAGAAAATATACCAAAGCCGATAGTCGATATAAATGAGTATATCGATACAATTAGAAACTGCAATCTTGGGTGTTTTGTTCTTAACAAGCGACAAAATAGCACAGCTTTAATTTAAAGTGTCCTTGAAATTCACTGTATAGCAGCAGCTACTGCCAATCTATTTCTGGCGACTTGTCTGAGCCTTTGGGCAGCCTCAATATAAAGCCATAAACATAAATCCGAGTGCTAATTGGCAACAACCCGGGATCCTGGTCGGGCAATATCTACGCCTCGGCTTCTGGACGTGCGCTACAATAAACCCAACAATTACGCAGCAAATTAAAATCAAATAATTTAGCCAGCAAATCGCCCAGCCATAAAAATCACATGCAAATTATATAGCTGGCTGAGACGCTAGTCTCTCTGCAGGTAGACATGGCTGAGAAATTGTTGCAATTTACGCCATGGCTCAGACCAGGAGCAGCAGCATTGGCAGCGTCGCTGCTTGCGGCGCTTTTATAAAGCCCCCAATAAGGCCTTACACAGATGAAGTTATTTGAGCCAATAAAAAATGGCAGCCAGAAATGATGAGGCGCATCCGACTCCGAGGCATGTCAAATGGAAAATGAAAAGGGAAAGTTTTGCGCAGCATCGAGGAAAAATTGGTAATAAAAGCAACGCTTTGAGTCTCTGTCAAACAAGTGCCATAAATATTGACCTGCTTCCAGTCTTGCTGCCTCCTCTGCCACATGCAACTGAAACTTGTTCTTTGCGGTTCTCGCTCTCTCTGTCTCTCTCTCTCTCTCTCTGCACTCGGCCCTTTGCTAAATGCACACCTTCAACTTCTGCGGAGGCAATTTGTTATTGTTATTTGCCGGACTGGCCGAATGTTAATTATATGGCATGGCTGGAATGGCTGTGGCTTATTTAAAGCTTTATTTATTAAAGCATTTAATGTAAATTGTTTGTAAATGCCACAGGCTATCATTATGTGGCATGCGATATAAGGAAATTATATATATGCATATAAATCAATTCCACAAGCTCTCTGCCACTAATTAATATCAATGTAGAATGTTCAATTTTGAGCTGTGCAAAGTTTATTTAGTATGAAGTTTCAGTCAACACCCACGAAGTCGAGAGGATGCACTGCAAACGCTCGAAAATTTCTTTTTGTTATACCCTGTAATAATTGAAAACGAATCAAGTGCGGTTCTTTTGGGCATATATGTATATATATGTCAGGCAACGATTTGAGCCGATCTAGAAATTTAAAATTGATATTCTTATTTGTTTATCTTTCCCCCTCTCAACGAAATTATTAAAAAGAAGAATAGTCGATGCATAAAGTGTGAATGAATTGAAATTCGGCACCGCGACGCTGGCTACAGGGCATCTGCTAGTTGGGCAACGCCGACTACAGATCCCTTACAGAGCCTTTGTTTAATTTTGTCTTGGTTAACTTTAACGGTGCGCATATTTTATGCGCATAAAGTGGATCATAAAGTAATTAATGCGCTAAAATGCGACATTAAAACGCTGCAGGGCAACACAAAATTTCTACTCCAGTGTTGAATCTTCGTGGGTTGCCCAAGCAGAATGCATACATAATAAAAAAAAAAAACAGAACAACAAAGCGACTGCAATCAATCTTTTTGGGGGCAGGCGTTTTCAGGGCGTGTTCTGTGTGCTCTGCGTTGCACCTACGCCTACCCGAGGAGCCTGGCGAACTGCGCCCAGTCAGTCTGCGGGCACCTTTTGCCAGGCAGTCAAGTCAAGAAGATTAAGACCCTAACCACATTTTGGCAAGAGAGATCCCATAATAATTACGGAGCTCGAGACCCAACTGCATATTGTGGCATGCGTACAAATTCTGGCAACGGTGCTTTCCTTCGCACTGACAGCGACTGACAGACAGCAATTGCCAAATATAATAAAAAATTAGCCGGGGCGCACGGGGCGTGCCGTCGAGGGAAGTGACGTGGCATGCATTAAATCAAATATTGGTCGCTAGAGAAAGTGTCTGCGACCCAATTGGCCAGAGATAAGGAATATGCGACACATTAATAGTGTTGCAAAACGTTTCAGATAAGTTATAAGAATATAGAGATGCACTGTTGCTCACGAGCTTTCGGTCGAAATACATATATCCCCCAAAGCTTATACCTTCTTATTGGTTTCCGATTTTGTAAGTTATTTGTGCTTTGACCGGTAAGAAATGGGTGCAATATGTGTTTAAGCCATGGATTCGACCTTAAGCTATCTAAATAAAGTAGTTGAAAGCCCAGAGAGAAAACTTGACTGCCCTAATTAAATTCAAATGTACCACGCTGAAGATTAAAGTTGTATTTATATAATTTGTTGAATACCAAAGTGCAAATATTTGAAGCTACAAAAAATTTAAGATACTAAAATGGATTTTATTAAATAACATATAAAATTCTATTCCCATACCTATATAAATATATTGAAATTTAAATGATTTTTGTTATAAAAACTGTAATTCATATGAGAGTGAGCGAAAGTGCCTGAGCTGTAGAGTATAATGAAAAGTGTATTTTGAGTTTACAGTTTAAAGCTCATGTTAGTGTTGCAAAAAGTGTGACAAGAGAGAGAGAGAGAGCAAGCGGGAGAGCGTGCGAAAAGCTCGCGCTGATAAAAGTTTGACATGCGTTCGCAGCGACAAGTGAAAAATAGCAAACACTGAGCGCTCAGTCAACTTTAAGCAGCGGCAACAGGTGCACAGGCGCTACAACAATTCAAAAACAAAGCCATGGCAACAATTGTGCGTAAACTAATCAGCACTGCAAATGCAGCCAAGCCGGTGGCGCCATACAAGTAAGCAAACGCGAGCGAATAGAGCGAGAGCGAGAGAGCAAGAGCAAAAGCAAACTGTCAATCATATCATGTTGTTGTTTGTTGCTGTTGTAGTCAAGCTGTGGTGGCCGATCGCACTGTTTATGTGTCCGGCTGTTTGGGTCTGGACAAGTCAACGATGCAATTGGTGCCAGGTGGCGCCACTGCGCAAGCAGAGATGGCGCTGAAGAATCTGGAGGCGGTGCTAAAAGCAGCCGACTCTGGCGTAGATAAGGTGATCAAGAACACAGTTTTCTTGAAAGATCTGAACGACTTTGGTGCGGTCAACGAGGTGTACAAGCGGGGTGAGAGCATTCCAATAGCTTATTATACAAGTGCCGCCGATAAGGCAGCGGCATCTGCTGGCTTATCAGCCGTACTAATAAAATTTGTTTACCACACACCACATTTACGATCAACCTTATCTGTACTCTTTTTCAGTGTTCAATAAGGATTTTCCTGCACGCAGCTGCTTCCAGGTGGCCAAACTGCCAATGGATGCGCTCGTCGAGATTGAGTGCATCGCTCTGACTGGGCCCGTGCACACCGTTACCGTGGAATAGCCATTAAAGCCTTCAAAACTGTAAGGCAGAACCAATTTAAATAGGAATTACGAAATGCCAATTAAAAGCTAATAAAACCGAAAATTGTTAATCAACTTGTTGCTATACGCGCCTTAGCGATGGGCACGTGCCGAATCAGCGTGTCACGAGCATGAAGAGAGGTTTGAAATTGAGCAGAAAGCACGAAAATTGAAAGAGACGAGAAGAGAAACACAAGCAGTTGGACACATGTGTATCGTGTCACGTGCATGTTGTGAGCGCCACTTGCAACAATTGTTGCAATAAATGTTGCTGCGTGCGCGCATTGGGCAGGCGCAAGCGTTGCTAATGTGAGTCTTATGTAAAAATGAAAACTCCAACAACTTTACATTTAAACCTTATATAGTTTACAATTTGCTGCAGCGGCAATTTATCTTTGTTTTTCCAGTTGTTGTTGCTGTTGTTGTTGTTGCTGTTGCTGTTGTGGCTGCTGTGCGCCTTTTGTATTATATTTCATCAAATGTTGCTGCATAAATCATTGGCAACATTCGAGCACAACTTTTGGCAATGTTGCTAACGGTAGCCGGTTAGCCAGCCGCTTAGACAAAGCGTTTATTTCACATTCAAATTTAAAAGTTATTCATAATGCCGACAACTTGTACGTCGCTTGCTGCGGCTGCTTTTTCTGCTGCTTCCATTGCAGTTGCAGTTGCAGTCGGATTATGCATGCTCCATATTGATGCGGCTGCCTTTTGGATAATGCCATTTTTGGGTCTCAGCGCCGTTTTGTTTAGCATTTGTTTTGATTTTTTTCATTGAAATTTCAGTGAATTTGTCTGCCACTCGGCGCTGTAGCATGATTTATTAACCTTGTTGCAACTGTTTTGCATGCACTGGTGTGAATATGAATGCTTCTCTGATGGTGCACGATTATTGTGGGCTTATTTATTTTTATCTCTTTTTTTTTTTAGTATTTTTGTGCTTGTTTTTTGTTTTGATTCCAGTCGTTGTCTCTAAGAGACAACAGCAACAGCGGCTGGCAACATGTTTTGCACCCGCAGCGCTGGCAACATTCATGTTGATATGCATGGCGTGTAATTAATTCGAGGCACATCACAATTTACATGCATAAATATTGTAATAAATACGCATAAATTGATGACAACAAACTGCAACAAGTGATGACCCTCCGCCAAACCCCGCTGTGCTCGATCGGCCCAGACATTTGACATAAACACCTACGCATTCGCCTGCCTCGCTATGAAGTGCGGCTAATTAATTTCGACGCACAGCCAACAACTGGCGACAAACCGAACCAAAGGGACGCCAGGCTTGCCACCACAAAAGGCAACAGCAACAGGAACAGCCAAGCATAACAGCCGCAACACCAACGCGGTGAAAGTGCGCATAATTTACACGCACGGGCCAAGCCAAGGAGACGGACCGACAGAACAGGCCGGGGCAGACGGCAATTGCAACTTGAATGTGGAAAATTTATACACAAATTAAGCTCACAATTTTGTTGTAAATTTTTGGCAATTTGCTTATCAGCATACTTGTTGGGCAGTGCCTTTGATCGAGCAATCGATAATTAAACAAACCGCATGCGGTAGCAGAAGTCCAAAGTATCAAATTACAGTTTTTGCCAGGCAGTTGCAAAGTGTCATAATTAAAATATTATACGTCGTATGAAACACTCGGCAGAAGGCAAGCTTTCACCTGTCCTTTAAAACAAATGGTTGTAATTCAATTTAAATAAGTGGACACGCATATTTAAATTCAGATTTTTGGCGCGCAATTAAACGTTAGCATACTTTTGGGCGCACGTGTTAATTAACAAATACCGATATTTCTTAAGCATCGCTAAATAAACTTCACATTTAACAATCGGTTGTCATTAACAGCTTAGTTTTGTGTTAGCAGTCTGACAACAGCTGTTTTAATTCGGATTCACACTTTTAACTTATAATTCCTTGAAAGCATTATTCAGCCTATAGCAATCTATTCTTGGCACACTTTGGAAAAATTACATTCATAATAATCTTGCAATGCCAGCTCCTTGAACATGTTCAAAAAATTCCATATGTGCCGCCAAAATAATATCGATATTAGGCATGCAACGCCGTTCTGTAGGCAATGTAAGTATGACCAGTTCTAATGTAAAAATAGTAGTCAACTATCGTTATCGATTTATCGGAATGGCAAAATTAGAGCATAACAACACAACAGCCGAATAACTCATATGCACTTATAATCAATATAAATTGCAATGCATGATAAACTAACAAACCGCAATATAATTGACAACAAACTGCGTGAACAACGCTAACCGAGTGATAAGCAACAAGCCAGCGATAATTCGTTAAAAACAAAGTGAACGCCGCTCTGGCAAAAAGGTACAACAAAACAACAAGAAGCAGCACACACACACACAAAAACAGACAGCAAAAACACACACACAAACGCAGTTGGTCTCTTTGCCATGCACGAAAAAGTGAAATAGCAAAAAAAAGAAACTATCAAAATTTTAACGAAACAACAATAATAAAAGCTAGCATTTAAAGCTACGCCAGTGATTTGTATTTGATCCTGTGCTCGCTCGCTTGTGTTTTGTTTTTATTTTTATTTTTTTTTTACAAATACTTGGCAAATATAATTTGTTTCATGCAGTTGCACGACTACACAACGACGTTTTATAGCGCCCCCGTGTGAGTTTTTCCTTTTTTTTTTTTTTTTGTATATTTCTCTTTATATACCTGGCTATGTGTAATGCTGTTTTCGTGCGCGTTTGTGTTTGTGTGTAACAAAGTCTTTGAATTTCTGAAAGCAGCCCAAAAGATCGTCACTGCGACAATGAGAAAGTCTGAGAGAGTAAGAAGAGGGAACGAAAGAGATACCGATTTCTGTGACAAAGAGACGTAATCCGCAGTCGCAGTAGCGGTCGCTGCCTACGCTGCTGACTTGCAATTGCAGTCAGTGCAAAAAAACAAAATACAAATAAACAAACACTCAAAACTCAACTGATCTATTGCTTTTCCTCTGTCGAACTTCATTGCAGCCACCCGCCACCCACAAAGTTTATCAGCGAAAAAACAACTACACCGCCGACGACAACGTAACCGTTTGTTTACAAGAAGAAGAACGACACAAAACGCCGCTGCCACTGTCGGTGCCGCTGCCACTGCCGCTGTTGTTGCGCTAGGTATCGAGATTAAGAGCGGTGCCGCTGCCGCTGCCGTCGCCGCTCCGCAGCAGGAGAGCGTACCAGCGTGCTGGTAAAGTGGAGGAGCAGTGTCGACATCGCCTGGGAAACATGAATCTACGTGGAAATCCACAAAAGAAGGAGGGCAAAATGCGCATACGCGCCTTTCCGGTAAGTGTGAAGAGGTAAAACTGCCGGTTGGAGCATGAGCCAGCATAAACTTGGACTGCGATAAGATATAGATAACACTGATCTGTGTTCCCCGTCTTCCTCTCCCTCTCTCTCTGTGTGTCTCGCTTACTATCTGTGTGTGTCTCTTGATACTCCCGTCCTTCCCCTCACCGGGCGCTGGCTCAGCAGGCTGCTCAACGCTGCCTAACACTGTTTCGACAAAGTTCTGTCAGGGTTGAAATTGATGAAAAAGCTTCATCACATTTTAGTTTTTAAGTTACTTTCAATCTCAACTTAGTTTCGACAAATTGTTGTTGTTTTCCAACACACACACACATACGCAGAAGCAGAGACGCCAGAGTACCGGAAACGCATTGATGACGAGCGCACACGACGTCATTTGGACAATTGTGGGACGCTAGCGCCACCTGGCGGATGTCAATAAGGCCTACAAACGGCAGCCGCTCGCTTACGGCACCAGCGGGCCAACGCCAACAAATTGCCCGAAGTCAACAGGAGCAACAGCCGGAGCAGCTGCTGGCTACGTCTCAGTCCTACTACATAATTGGGGAGCATCGCTATAGCTGGGAGCGCGCGCTTGGTTCCCAAAGTGGAGCCGGCGGCGCGCGTTTGCCTCCTCCGATGTACAGTCACGATCCGAGGATCGGTCTCTTTGGAGCCGCAGCGCCGCAGCCACCGCCGCCTTCGTCCAACAATCAGCCAAATAATCTGAATAGCCCGTCCCAATCTCACTATTACCCATCACCAGCAGCATCACCACCGCATTCGCGCATTGTAGCCGGCTCAAATAATTTTAATCATCGCTCCCGCAATACACGCAATGCCCTGGGGCAGCAGCAGCAACATCCACGCACTCAGCACCCAAATGTACCCCTCAATGTGGTGGCGCCACAGCATCAGCAGCCGCAGCCGCAGCCGCTGCGTAACTCCACACGCAGTGCGGCTGGCAATTCCACATTTACACCAACGGGCAATGTGCCGCCACACAGTGAACACTCCGTAAGGGCGACCTCAGCTGTGCAGCCAGTCGGAGCCGGTGTCATACAAATGCGTGAAATTGGACGCAAGTATCCATTGTGGCTGCCCGAGTATAAACGTCGCGCATTCAATGTTAGCCCCCAAAAGTTGCACAAATCTTCTACATAATAATCAAATGTTCGATTATTTTGCACTAACCCAAAATTGCCTTTTCCCTAATTGCAGGCCTCCATGGATGAGAAGTATGTGGATGACATATGGGCCACACTGAAAAATGCTATACAGGAGATACAGAAGAAGAACAATTCTGGCCTCTCCTTTGAGCAGCTGTATCGCAATGCGTACAATATGGTGCTGCACAAGCATGGCAATCGCCTGTATCATGGACTGAGCGATGTCGTCTCGAAGCATCTGGAGCAAAAGGTGCGGCAGGAGGTTCTCGAGCGTTTGCACAGCAATTTTCTGCCAAAACTGAATGAAGCCTGGACCGATCATCAGACCTCAATGGTCATGATACGCGACATACTCATGTACATGGATCGTGTCTATGTGCAGCAGCGCGGATTGGATAATGTCTATAATTTGGGTCTTAATTTATTCAGGGATCAGGTAAGTGTAACGCTACGCCTTAAACGGGAGCCCTCCAGACTGTGGTTGCCAAAAGATTAGCAAAGTAAAATAGTGAAACTTCGGAAAAAATATAGAAATTGTTATCGTCCTCGCACATAGAAAACAATATGCAAAACTCTACGAAAATCATCCAAGTTTATAAATGGAATTTATTATTTTTATTAGTTTTCATTTTCAAGATTCGTTCAATCTAAAACTATCTATAGGCAAACTAATTGCATAGATGTCATTAGAGACGGCTCCTAACTCTGCACAATCTGTAATTTAACAAAATTCTTACTAATTTGTGCACATTGTTTTCATATTCAGGTCGTTCGCTTTCCGGAAATACAGAAAGCGCTACGAGAGAGGCTGCTGGGCATGGTAATGGAAGAGCGTCACGGCGAGCCGATCAATCATTTGGCGATCAAGAATGCCTGCACGATGCTCATAACATTGGGAATCAATTCGCGAACCGTTTACGAGGAGGACTTTGAGAAGCCTTTCCTGTCACAGTCGGCGGCCTTTTACAAATTCGAATCGCAGAACTTTCTTGCGGAGAACAACGCTGGCGTTTATATCAAGAAAGTTGAGGCGCGCATCACTGAAGAATCGTCACGTGCGGCTCTTTATTTGGATAAGGATACGGAACCGCGCATTGTGCGTGTCGTTGAGGAGGAGCTAATTAAGAAACACATGCGCACCATTGTCGAAATGGAAAATTCGGGCGTGGTGCACATGATTAAGAACTCAAAAACCGAGGACTTAGCATGCACATATAAATTGTTCTCACGTTTAAAGGAGGAGGGCCTCAAAGTGATAGCCGACACAATGTCTGCGTATCTGCGCGAACAGGGCAGCATGCTGGTCAAAGAGGAGGAGAATGGCAACACAAATCCAATTACATTTGTGCAAAATTTGCTCGATCTCAAGGATCGATTCGATCAATTTCTGCTGCACTCATTTAGCAATGATCGACTCTTCAAGAATGTCATCTCTGCTGACTTTGAGCATTTTCTCAATCTGAACAACAAATCGCCCGAGTATCTGTCGCTCTTCATCGATGATAAACTGAAAAAGGGTGGCAAGGGCGTAAGTATCCAAATTTTTGATATAAGATATCATGTAGTCTTTACACTCGTTACAAGATTTTGCTATCGAAACTATGAATCCAATGTTTTACTATAAAAATAACTATTTTTACAGATGAGTGAGCAAGAAATTGAAACCATTCTGGACAAAACGATGGTTCTTTTCCGTTTCCTACTCGAAAAGGATGTCTTCGAGCGCTATTACAAGACGCATTTGGCCAAACGTTTGCTGCTCAACAAATCGGTCTCCGATGACTTTGAGAAGAACATGATATCCAAACTAAAGGCAAGTATCGAAAGAAAAAGCACTTAATTTTAAACAGGGCACTAATCAATTTGTTGCTCTAATTGTTTTAGACTGAATGTGGCTGTCAATTTACATCAAAGCTGGAGGGCATGTTTAAGGATATGTCCGTGTCCAATACGATTATGGACGAATTTAAAAGTTATGTAAATAATAACAGTTTTTCATTGAGCGGCGTGGAGCTGACGGTGCGCATACTGACCACCGGATTTTGGCCCACACAGGTGACTCCAACATCATTTGACCAAGCATTTTTGTGGTTTCTAAACCTTAAGCTTAAACCCACAGACGGCAACGCCCAATTGCAACATACCCGCAGCACCACGCGAGGCCTTTGAGGTGTTTAAGAAATTCTACCTGGACAAGCACTCGGGTCGGCAGCTGACGTTACAGCCGCAGATGGGTGAGTTAGCATTGGTTTTAATAAAGCCCCTGTAATTTGTTCTAACAGTTAGTTTCTGATTTGCCCAGGCACTGCCTACATAAACGCCGTTTTTTATGGCCGCAAAGCGAACGACAGCGACAAGGACAAAGATGGGCCAAGCTCAAGTTCAAGTGGCTGTGCTGTGCCTACCACAACGCGCAAGCATATATTACAAGTGTCCACCTATCAGGTGAGCAAATGTTAATGAGTTCTCTAATACAAGTCAATTAAAATCGAATCTCTTTGTTCTGTATCAACCGTAGATGTGCGTATTGTTGTTGTTTAACAATCGGGATGTGCTGACCTATGATGACATACACCAAGAGACGGATATACCCGAGCGTGAGCTGGTGCGTGCGCTGCAATCTTTGTCAATGGGCAAGCCTGCACAGCGGTTGCTAGTGCGCAACTCAAAAACGAAAACAAAGGACATTGAGCCCTCGGACGAGTTTTATGTGAACGATGCATTTGTCTCAAAGTTCCACAGGTGCGTAATATCGTTTGCGTCAACAACTTAAACGCAAAAAGTAAACGTTCTTTTTATTACCCATTGTGCAGGGTAAAGATTCAAACGGTCGCCGCCAAAGGCGAATCGGAGCCGGAACGCAAGGAGACGCGCGGCAAAGTGGATGAAGATCGCAAGCACGAAATCGAGGCGGCCATTGTTCGCATTATGAAGGCGCGCAAACGCATGGCGGTAAATATTTAAATCGTTTATTACTGATAACGAGTAATCAAATTAACAATCTTTTGCAACAATTTACAGCACAATCTGCTTGTCTCGGACGTAACGTCGCAGTTAAAGTCACGTTTCTTGCCCTCGCCCGTGTTCATCAAGAAGCGCATCGAAGGCCTTATCGAGCGTGAATATCTGGCGCGAACGCCAGAGGATCGTAAAGTGTACATTTACTTGGCTTAAGGAGTGTCCGCGCGCAAAAGGCATCCAACTCATTCAATCCGTTGGCACATACTCATCATTTTGCAATCGAAAGCTACTAATCACGAGCAACTGCCCCATCTCATATCCTCAAATCCCTCCCCACCTCATTTTCAACTTTTATCAATTCGCAATTAATCGGTAACACAACCATCCACAACTTTAATTAAGCGCCAATGCAGTTACGAGCATCCAAACTGGAATCATATATTTTGACCAAGATGTTAAATAGAATTATATAACTCAATAGACAAGTGCGAAATTTGTAAGCCTGACATTCAAAATTGAACAGTTATTGCTAATCTTTAGATGGTTATGCAGCTCTCCTTCTTTCTCTCTCTCATGCCATTGCTATCCATAATATAATTTCGACTATTCTCTAAATTCTTCGCAATTTATTTAACACAGTTTTTTATATTTCTTACCACACACAAGCACACCTTTTGAGGCACAAAACATGCGCCACACACACATTTACAATATAGCAACAGCAACAAAATGTATAGCAATAAGCCACATACACACATTATTACACACACACACACACACACACACACACATGCACCATGGATGGAGAAGCGTAAGCGAAGCAAACGTAAGGATAAATGCATAATGCAAAAATTAACTCTAAGCAGCAGTATAAATATAGCTAAACTAATAAATTTCTAAATGAATAATAAATTTAGTGAGCGTTTCATGTACATTTTTACGTAACTCTCCCCTCTCCCAAAAATAAATACAAAAAAAAAATCCAAAATTAAAAATTTAAATTTAAAATCTAAAAACTTCGAGATTCATGCGAAAAGAGTTTAAAGTTTAAAAAGACATTTTAAAATCGATCTTTTATATACATAACTAAACACATTCGTCAGCAGCTTATAAAAACTATATACGTGTATAAAAGTTATCTACTAATTTAGTTGGTATAACCAACATTCATGCCAATACCAGCCCAATATATTCGACAGTTTCTTTATTTGTTCACATTTTTTTTGTCCTTTTTCTTGTATTGAAAATAAACTGCAAAATTTTATGTGAGAGAGTCCATTAACTAATATAAGCGTATGCATGGAGTCAAAAGAGCAAAACGAACGCGTATGAAGAAAGAATTGTACATAAATTTTTGTTCTTATGTATGGAAAAAAGAAATATAAATAAAACGTATATGAGCGTTAAAATGTACAGTGTACGTGTCATTTGTCAAATTTACTCTATACAATTTTTCGGTATACCTAAGGGGATTTCTATTGTCAGATTTACCAAACATATCTCACATTTTTTGAGAAAGTCAATCTTGATTCTATCGGAAATTAAATGTTATTCATTAAGTACAGTAAGGTAAGTCCCTTAAAACTGATATTTTCAATTCCATAGTTGAGTAAAAGTACTGGAAAATCGATGTAGCTGTCTACCCGTAAATAAATGGGAGGTAATGTCAAGAAATCTTCAAAAATTACCTTCTTAATACAAAATATGCTACTTTTAACTTTTCTAGTGAGCCCATCAAATAGACATAGATTCTGGATCAGAGGACGACTATTTGCTTTCAAAATGTCGAGAGTTTCTTCCAAATTTCAGGAATATCTTAATAGTTAACATCTGGATATTGGGAATAAACGTATTTTACATTCAATATTGCAGTTCCGCATTTCCATAAGAAACCCCGTCTAAGGATAGTTCGGTTACTGGTTATGTGGTATCTCCTAGTCGTGCACCCTGGACCTAATCGATTTTGTTTGTTGTAAACAAACTTATCTAACCTGCAAATAGGCAGGCAAATTATAATTATTTATCAATTAAATTGACCAACTTTTACAGCCAACTATCGCCTGGCCGGGCCGAACGAAGCTGCGCAAATAAAAATGACTTGCTTTTAGATTTTCAAAATAAATATGCTAAGTTCTTGGGTAAACACAGACGCTGAGACCGCGACGGGGACAGAGACAGAGGCGCCGATTCAAGTTAAGATTCTGATGCCGATCCGATTCGATCGGATTCGATTCGATTCGATTCGATCAGACGCACTGATAAGGCCAAGCCAAAGAGTCAGAGAGCGCAGCAGCTTGCGGCGCTCAAATGGAGCAGCCCCTTTGAAAACTAGAAACAAGTAAAAAAGCTGTAGTGAAAAGTATTCGATTGACAAATACCCTACAAACATTACGGCATACCAAATCGTACATAATTCAAATGCACCATATTTGAGGCAAAGACTAGATGCTTTTAATAATTTGAAGTATTTTTGAGTTATTTTTCAACCCGAACTAAAGTTTTATGATTTCTTCTATTTAGTCTTATAGTATATTTTAAAATATTGAAATAACTAGTAATTTGATTGCTGTTTTTCTGTTGTAGAAATCATAAATATCTGTATGTTAAAAATTGTCCAACTAAAGAACGAACTCTCTTTCAGGAGTTTCCGTTTTTCAGTACTATGGAAAACTATGAGATCGTAAGACTCCATCTAAAAACGGGCTGAGGCGCAAAACTGTTCGCTAAATATTGTATGGAACAGTAAGGGATAGGAACATCTCACAGAGATATTTGAAGATGCTGGAACGCCAAAAGCTTAAGCCTAAGATCTTGACAGCAAATGTTAAATGCTGCACAGTGTGAATTGACAATTGGATACAATTTTGACAGCAGATGTGAAATGTTATAATAATAGAAATAGACGACTCTTCTATTTATAATAATGATATCATTTATGATAATGATATCATGGATATGTTCTACTGCCTGCATACCCACGCTTACGGCTTGTGCCACTTACAGGGTATAAAATAAGTGATATTGCCCATACTCGTAACTTGTGTGCACTTCAGACGCACAATATTTCTGGTGTGTGTCGCTCGCTCAGTTGCCGTCTGGTCACCAAGCGCAACGGGGCAGCACGCGGTCGCGAAATTGGAATTGCGAAATAGCACTTGGCGGTGCGAAGAGCCAGAAATAAGTTGGAGCCGTATCCAAAACTAAAAAAGCTGAAAATCGACACCGATACCGTTTGCTCTATACTTCGCGTGCGCGTGTGTGTTGCAAACACAACGGTGAAAAAAAAAAAACAAGAATATATATATGTATATGTATATGTGTTAAAATATTTGATATATGTACATATATGTGGAATACTTATGAAAATAAACAAAACTACGTCAGAAGACTACAAACAAAAGATATGAACACGCCGCCTCCGTCGCCGTCGCCGTCTCAGTCGCAGTCGCAGTCGCTAACGACGTCAGCGTCGCTGCCAAGGTTCGCTTGAACGTTAGGCGAATCGAAATATCATTTTTTTTCCGATTTTATTAACATTTGTTGCTTCTGTTTCTGTTGATTTTTGTATTTTATTTTTTCTTTTTAACTTTTTTTTTTTTGTTTTGTTTTGTTGTTTAACGGTTGCGTGTGTAAAGTTAGTGACCTTAGTGAATCGTGATTTACAGTGAGGAAAACTGCATTTGAGTTTCGGAGCGAAATCGGATCGTTTGAATCAAAGCAGGCGAAGTGCCTGGCTCTCAGAAAGCCAGACGGCATTAGTAGTAATGCCTTGGGAATTGTCAACCATTCACTTTTTGAACCAAACCAGACTAGAACACTTGGCCTGATTACACAAGCGATTCTAGACTAAAGCTTGACTAAAAATTGGCAAAATTTGGAATTTCTGTTTTCTTGAATTGAAAAGAAAAGACAAAACAAAAACAAATTTCCAATTTATATTTTGTTTGTTGTTTTTTTTTTTTTTTTTTTGTATTCTGATAACCCACAATAATATCTTGTAATGAGCCAACGAGGTGCGTTTTGCATAAATGCCGCGACACTGGGCCTGACTACGACTGGTTCGCAGTCATCCTCGCCGCGTGCCGCCGCCGCCAACCAGAAGCCAGGAGAAGCTGAACAGCAATTGGAACAGGCCAGAAAAACGCTTGGGAACCCAGGAGAGGATGAGAAGGCGGGAGAGCTAAAGCGTGAACAACTGCAAACAGTTAAGAACGAACTGGAGCAATCGCCACGGGATCTGCCGGACACGGAACCACCGAGCATTGAAACGCTCTTTGCCACACCAAGCCTGAGAGGTGGAGCAGATGCGTCTGCTGTCGGTAGCACTGCGAGCGAGGACCAGACCCAGTTTAATGCCAGTTCAGAGCCCACATCCACGGAGCACTATCGCAATCAGCTCAAGAAGCTGCGCGGCATATGTGGAGACGCGGCCATGATGAACTTTGAGCTGAATAGCATTTTTCTTAAGCGACTCGAGGAGATCGATTGCATGGACCAACAAAGCGGCGGCGATTCGGTGAGTAATATTCGAAAAGATTCAAATAGTTGATAAGAAATTGTTGCTAAAAGTCGCTTTACTTTAATTGTTGATTTGCATTCGTTTAATTCCAGAATGTGACGCCACAGTTGCGTCTGGTAACATTTCAGGATTGGGTCGACCTGTTGCTGCATGTCAACTACATTATCTTTGGCAACATGTCCGCCATGGAGGTGGAGGCCTACGAGAAGATCATGAACTGTTTCCAATCGGTGCGCGGCGAACAGCAGCAGGCTCTAGACGAGAATCGCAAGCTGCGCAAGGACATTTGCGCCATTATAAAGCTGGTGCAGGAGGCTTTCCATCACAACATCTGGAACACGGATGAAATGTGTCTGGAAACACTGACGGTCAATCAGCTGCTCGGCCTACAGGCCGATCAGACCCGACCGGAGAGCGAGGCCGAGAAGGTAGGTTGGCTAATTAGCATAAGGGGCTAGGGGCATCGTTCACTCATCGAAACTTGTCTTCTTCTAGAAGTACGAAGATTCAAATAGAAACGAGCAGACCAGAAATTTATTTGTTCAATTCGATTCCACCTACGACCCCTCATAAGTGCATTCAAGTTTTCAATTCAATTTTACGTTTTATATATTTTTTGTCGTGTTGAATTATTTGAAATAAATTAGCTCTATATGCAACGAGAGAGGGTTTCTTATCTGAGCATTATCTGATTTCAGGTTACCAAATGCATGAGATCTCTGGCCAACGAGGTGGCCGCCAAGCATGATGAGGTCTGCCATTTGCAGGACCAGATGTGTGCGCTGGACGAAGTGGTCCAGACCGCGCGACAGAAGATCATCCTAAAAGACAAGTGCATAGCGCAGCTCAATCAACAGGTGAGATGCCAATCAACAGATTGATCGATTGATTAATTCTTGAAAAATGCAATAATCGGTAGATGAATTGCAAGCTAATATATGTAGTCGCAGGCCATAGTAGCTAGTCTCTAGCCGACTAGCAGATACTCTTCTGCTACCTTATGAAACTTTTAGGCGTAAGGCTCTTCATATAACGGAGGGAGTTATCCATATATACTACATATACTACATTTGGTTAATTACGTTAATAGCTCTTATGGTTTTCGAGATTTGTTAAGAATGAAATCTTATATGAAGAATCTTATATACATACATATGATTATTTTATCATCAAAATTTTTGGGCCATTTAAGGCAATTCCCCACATACTTTAAAATAATCAATTGTATTACATCATGGCCTGCTATTTGGCACATATATAACCTGAGGGGCATATTGATATTGCTTTGGGTTTCAATTTATAATTCATAAGCACAACATTGCTCACGTTTATAAATAAAATTTCATGTTAAAAACGACATTTATCTTAATTTTATTTAGTTAATGGAACTGCAAGATTGTTTGTCAAGCATGACGCAAGGATCGAACACCAAGGCAAGTTTAACTGAGGATTATGATGTCGACTTCAACCATGAGGACTTCACCAGCTGTTTGTTCGAGGGCCTCAACGAGAAGGATCAACAGGCCAGCGAGCTGCTGCGCATGCTCAACAAGGAACTGACCGAGTTCATAGATCTGATCAGCAAGAAAGACTTTCAGGCCATGGAGTGCCGTCGAAAGTTGCTCTCCTGCTTCTTCGAGAGAATTGTAGGTCACGCACAACCTGTGTTCATTAAGAGCTTTCACTACATTTCTCACAATCGCTTTCTCAGAACTGCGATCGCGCCGACACACTACGCAAATTGGAGAACTTGCGTACACAGCTGCGGGCGTTGGATTGCAATTTGGATCAGCTGGATGCACCGATTGCCTGCAGCACCCAGGTGACTGAGGACGACTTTGATATACAGCTCATCGATGCACTGCGTCGCCGCTTATGGAACATCAACGAATGCAACAAGGAGCTCAATTCCAGATGCCAGCGTCTGGAAGTCCAGCACCGAGGTACGTATTCAAAGCTATCGCTACTAGTATATTATATATATATGTCTGATTCTTTAGTTGAACTGATGGAAATCCGTTGCCTATACGAAGCTGAACGTTCTATAAATGTCAAAAATTGTGAGGCATTGAAGCAGATAGCTGATCTACTCTCCAAATTGGTAAGTACGGCTGTAGTTAGACAATGGTTAATTATAATTAATACATAAGTATTTCCAATTACACTTCAATTACTAATTGATTGCAACTGTTGCTCTAGCGCTGCTCCGATCTCTCGTATGAGGAGATCTACACAGATAAATCGGCAAATAATCCATTTTGCGTGGCCATCATGGAAATGTACGAGAAACTCAACAAGCTAGAGAATAGTGGGGAACAGGAGAAACAGCTTTTAACCGTAAGTAATTGCATATATTCAATTTATCGTATGCGACGGTTATGGTACCCAAAGAGTTCTTCTCAAATTCAGCCCAACAAAAGTGAGCCCCAAACACCTGCCCACAGCACATAGCCGATAACGACAACAACAACAACAACTTGCGACTTGTTAACCCCCTCCGAGCAGCCGCCGCTTAAGCATAGTTTAAATTAGTTTAATTTATCGTAAGTTTCTACACTTG